TTGAAGATGTCCCTGCTCACTGCAGGGGGGTTGGACTGGGATGAGCTTGAAGGTCCCTTCCAACCCAAACCAGTCTGTGATTCTATGAATACAATTATTTCAAAATAAAAGTGGGATTAAGAAATATATTGAGTATTAACACAATTAACACAATTATTTACTGCCAGGGGCTTCACAGGCATGATGTAAAGAGCTTTTTTGTGTGTGTGTGCAGTGAATTTGTACAATACATGTCAGAAATCAAACTCAAGTGAAGCTCAAACCAGGAGAGAGGCTGTTTTGCAGCGGGGTGAACGTGAGGACACAGCCTGTCCCTGCTCCTTACCGGGTGCGTCGGGAGGAGGCAGCTTGAGGACGAAGATCCCTCCTGAAGCAGAGGGCAGAGCGAAGAGAGCCTCCCCCTCGCTGCTCAGCCACGCCGCCGAGGCCACCGAGCTCGCAGCCAGGCCTGGCACGCTGGGAATCAGGCAGTAATGGGAAGGGTCTCGGAAGTTGACTTTGCCGATATCGGTGAACACGGACTGCATCTGGCTCTCTGTTATCAGCTCCTGGAGCAGGGAGAGGGCAGGGGGTGCAAATCCTGAGCACACGTACACAGGGCACAGGAAAACCCCAATGACTGTGTCTACACGACTCTTCAATCCCTCCAGGGATGGGGACTCCACCACTGCCCTGGGCAACCCCTTCCAATGCCTCAGAACCCTTGCAGCAAAGAAATTCTTCCTCACATCCCATCTCAACTGCCCTGGGCACAACTGGAGCCCATTTCCTCTTGTCCTGGCCCTTGGGCCTTGGTTGGACAGACCAGCAATGGGTAAATGTGATGGAAATTTTGTGTAAGATCCACCTTCCACGTGAAATAAAGATTCCATACCCTCCTGCGCACAGAGGGCACGTTACAAACACAGCCAGGCCGCCCTCTGCAGCCCTCAGTCCCCACCTCCCAGGGGTACTTTGTCCCCATTGTCACAAGGCCAGACCCCAGGATCGGGGGGTCTACCAAAATGAACTCTATCCCTACCAAAATTAACTTTGTGTAAGATCCACCTTCCACGTGAAATAAAGATTCCATACCCTCCTGCGCACAGAGGGCACGTTACAAACACAGCCAGGCCGCCCTCTGCAGCCCTCAGTCCCCACCTCCCAGGGGTACTTTGTCCCCATTGTCACAAGGCCAGACCCCAGGATCGGGGGGTCTACCAAAATGAACTCTATCCCTACCAAAATTAACTCTAACCCCAACAAAATGAACTCTGTCTCCACCAAAATTAACTGTCATGGCCAAAATTAACCCTGTGCCCACTGAAATTCATTGACACGGCCAAAATTAACTCTAATCCCCACAGAAATTAACTCTATCCCTGCCAAAATTAACTGTCATGGCCAGAATTAACTCTTTCTCCACCAAAACGAACTCCATCCCTATCAAAATTAAATCTCTCGTAGCCAAAACTGCATCCCCAACAAAATTAACTCTGTCTTCACCAAAATTAACTCTATGCCCACTGAAATTAATTGACACGGCCAAAATTAACTCTATCCCCACAGAAATTAACTCTGTCCCTGCCAAAATTAACTCTTTTTCCACCAAAACAAACTCTCTCCCTACCAAAATTAAATCTCTCATGGCCAAAATTAACTCTA